TACGGCCTCGGCTATTATATCCCTTGTCTTTTATTTGCAAACACAGTTAATATGACTTGATATAGCATCTTTGTTTTGTCATAAGACAATTATCAATGTAAATGACAATGTAAAATAATTGATGTGAGAGTGAGATAGAAACGATTTTGTACCTGTGCATGTTACATTACATTTGTAACAGAACAAGAGTACATATTGTTTTTAAAAATCGACACTTGGCAAGCTATTAAAAACCAGTGTTGCATAAAAGATGCATCAATAGTTGAATAGTCAGTACAAACGAAATCAAAGTTTAAAGTTGAATAGCCCAGTGTAAACTACGGCCTTTGCTACCCCTCGTCCTTTATTGACGTGACAGCCGTCTACGAATTGTTTTTCATTACATGTTTGATTCTGATAGGTAATACTTTACATGATGTCCCGTTTCCTAGAAATCCCGGTTTGCAAGTACAGTTAACACGGTCGTCTGAACCAGGGGTACATTCTGCATTAGCGTCACAGTTGTTCAGCGCAGGATCTGCGCATGGATCCACTACGGCTTCCGTACCTGAAATATATAATTTGATTCTGTGTCATTTTGTGTCACTAGACGATTACCTATTACGACATAGATAATATAACATTATAAATGTGAGACCGAGGCAGAATCATCATTTTACTTGCATTTGTAAAAGGGAGAACCACATGGATCAAAATAACCTGAACTATAATTTGACAGAGCATCTTTGTTTTGTCATAAGACAATTGTCAATGTAAATTTTCTTAAACGCGTACTTGAACTTACGCTTTCAGGTGCACGGTTTGCATTCACAATCATTATGTAACTTTTTACTATTAGAGTAGGATTTATTCTGAATATTAAACAAACATGGAACATTATTTCACATCTTGTGCTGGATTTCTTTCGTCAAATTTGTCAACTTGCACGTATCATGATGATGCTGCTATCGTTAATCCATAACAATTAATTGAAACGGATGTCTAATATTCAATACGACAGAAAACTGAACGTTCATCGTCAACATTTCGATTTGAATGTCTTATAATTAATAATATCACTTACGTATAAGTGTTAAAATGTGTTTGAATTGTGCAGTTTTTTTTATCACAGTTGAATAAACACATCGATGGTCAGTATTTTCCCAACACGTAAAGAATAATTGTCTGTCGTCCGATTTTGTCCCTTAATGCCCCATTCAAAAATAACATGTTTGTTCTTTTCAAGGGACATTACCAGACAAATAAACGCTGTAATCCAGACATCATCGGACAAAATGGGACGACGACGGACATTATCCGATTATGTCAGCGGGACAACAGCGGACAAGTTTGGACAAAATGGACTAACGGTCAAGCCGGACAATGTCCCATAATTCTTCATTCTTATAAATGACAACTCTAATGACAGGGAATACTTACATGTAAAACCGTCCCCTTCAAATCCCGGTTGGCAAGTACATGTATAATCAGATCCTCCAGTGGAATAACATTCAGCCATAGGATCACAGGGGACAAGCGTCAAACATGGATCGGTTGGCTGACCTTCAATACAATTACATGTTGTGGCATTATTATTTTTATTATAAGATGTTTATCAATTACAACTAAAGAGACAGTGTAACGTTATTGGACTGAAGCGAAATTGAGATAGAAACAATATTGTACGTGTACATTACATATTATGAGGTTATATAATGGTTCATTCTGTATATCGTGTTTATACTCGAGTGAGTATATGATATATTCACAAGTGAGCGTAGTTGTATACGATGACGATATACCACTCTCCACTGTATATCGTTGTTATAGACCCATGTTATACAACTGTAATTGGATTAACACCCAGGTATTTTTATTTTTATTTAAAAATACTAAATGGGACATTTTTCGTACCCTACATATCATTTGATATTTAAGAAATTTGAAGGAAATTTAATATTTATTCTTCAGATTTATTAATTTTAGCTAAAACCTTGTTTCTTATTTTAATTTCAGCCTTTAAAAGTAATTAATTCCAAAATAAATGTCATTTTGCTTATCTAGGGGTCGTCAAAATACACAGCGTGACGGCCTTTGGATTTTGTTTGAAGTTGAAAAATCAGCGTCACATTCCATTGTTACCTTAAAACTAATGACGTCATAATAAAGATCATTGTCTCAGGAAGTGATTCATACCTGTCTCATCAAAATTGATGAAAAAATAATGATTCTACATCATTTTGAAAAATAGCGCGCTCCTAAAATGTTACGCGTGACGGCATATTTCTAACGTTTTGACCCACGAAGGACGCTCTAAAATGCTCTAAAATGAAAAATTCCATGTAAAATATACAAATGAGGTTTTAGAGGGGACCTATACGAAGATTTTGATATATAACATGAGTATGTTCGCTTTCCGAACTTTCCCGATATTTACATGGTAAGAGCATGGAACGTCAAAATTTGAAATATGCCCCAGTATTGAACTTCGGTTCATAACATTATAAATGTGGGACCGAGGCAGAATCATCATTTTACTTGCATTTGTAAAAGGGAGAACCACATGGATCAAAATAACCTGAACTATAATTTGACAGAGCATCTTTGTTTTGTCATAAGACAATTGTCAATGTAAATTTTCTTAAACGCGTACTTGAACTTACGCTTTCAGGTGCACGGTTTGCATTCACAATCATTATGTAACTTTTTACTATTAGAGTAGGATTTATTCTGAATATTAAACAAACATGGAACATTATTTCACATCTTATGCTGGATTTTTTTCGTCAAATTTGTCAACTTGCACGTATCATGATGATGCTGCTATCGTTAATCCATAACAATTAATTGATACGGATGTCTAATATTCAATACGACAGAAAACTGAACGTTCATCGTCAACATTTCGATTTGAATATCTAATAATTAATAATTGAGAGGTTAAGCAAGACGATTTTTTATGACATGAACCACAAACGTAAACCTTTACGTTCCCGTGTACGTACTATAAACAAAAGTGCTTTAAGCTGAGCTCTTGATGTAACATAAACGTAGACCTCAGAATGTTTTTCCCTTTTTCTTGGCGGAATTTCGTTTTTATTATTTTATTAAAAGTATAAAAAAAATATTACTTTATTGACAAATTGATGAAAGTCTCGGATGAAAGTGTTTAACATAGGAGATGTTCCACAGCCTGGCAGTGTTTTATGACATCTTGTATCTTACAAAATACAACATGTTAATATCGTCCAGTGTCGCCTTCCATGTCCATGTTGTCTCAATGCTGCTTGATTTAGTTGTTTAACACAATATGTCAGCAGAATTGAGATGAGTTGAGATTTGGCCAATTGCCATGTATGTAATCTCATCAGAATTACATATAAATGGTGCCTCAATATTCAAGTTATATTTGATTAGATTGGACACAAATGATCTCGATATATACACAGATTTGTGTCAAACATATTCATTCATTCGACCTATATCATATTTATCTCGGCCGAACTTGATAAAGTACCAAAACTCCTTTACGGAACGACCTACCTTTACCATATTCTATGGCCATTGAGTGTGACTTGAGTAAACCTACCTAGACTTTGATTTTTCACGTTTGGATGTACGTAAATCGGGAAATAAGTAGAACAATATGACGTCACATCCCGAGACATTCCTGCGTGCGCCTTCCCGTTTGCGGGTTATGTTGTAAAAAGTAGTGTTGCTTAACCTCTTTAAAATCACTTATATTACGTATAAATAGTAAAATGCGTTTGAATTGTGCAAATTGTTTATCACAGTTGAATAAACACATCGATTGTCAGCATTTTCCCAGCACGTAATGGATAATTGTCTGTCGTTGTCTGATTTTTTCCTTAATGCCTCATTAAAAATAATGAACATGCTGATTCTTTTCAAGGGACATTATTAGACAAATAAACGCTGTAAGCCAGGCATCATCGAACAAAATGGGACAACGGCGGGCATTGTCAGCTTATGTCAGCGGGACAACGACGGACAAGTTTAGACAAAATGGACTAACGGTCAAGCCGGACAATGTTCCATAATTCTCCTTTCTTATTAAGAAGCCAACGAAAATTCCCATGATAGGGATAATACTTACATACATAGCCGTCCCCTTCAAATCCCGGAAAGCAACTACATACAAAACCACCCAATTGTCCAGTTGGGAGACAGTCAGCATTTACATTACAGATGTTAATCAAAGGATCAAGACATGGGTCCTCTGGGACACCTTCAATACAATTACATGTTGTTGCATTATTTTTTATTACAAGATGTATATCAAATACAACTACAGAGACAGTGTAACGTTATTGGACTGAAGCGAGATAGAGATAGAAACAATATGGTACTCGTGCTTTTCATTTAGGTTTACATACTGTATTATTACATCAAATTATAACTTACAACCCACTAATGCCTGGGTCACATTTGCTCCGATTCATCGACCGGCGCCAGGACGATCGAGTATTTTGTTCAAAACAGAATACAATTTTGAACACAATACGCAATCGGCCGGGCGCCGGCCGATGAATCGGAGCAAATGTGACAAAAGGCATTAAAGGGAGCAACAAAACAAAATTAAGTTATCTTTAGGAATGCATAGTTCTAACAAAATAAAAGTATTCTCTTCTTTATAGTTTTCGAAAGAATTGACACTTTTGGATGCTATAAAAAACAGTGTAGCACAAAAGACGAGCGTATCGAATAGTGACATTAACATAACAGATAGTGAACAGATCTGCCAACCTCCCGTTTTTTACGGGAATCTCCCGTATAATTTTGTTTTTTTCCGTAAAAATACAAACTCCCATACCGTTTTCTCTCGTCAAACACTCGTTTTTCCCTGTGAAAATGGTTGTAAAACCTCCCGTACTTTTTATATGATATTAGTTTGAGACCCTAATGCCTAGGTCACATTTGCTTCGATTCACCGGCCGGCGCCCGGCCGATTGAGTATTCTGTTCAAAGCTGAATACAATTGTGTACAGGCCGGCCGATGAATCGGGGCAAATGCGACCCAGGCATTATATGAGATTTTTAGTCATTATATACCTAAAACTTCCATTTTTCAAAAATCTTCATTGAAACTCCCGTGTTTTCAAAATCTACCGTAAATCCCCCGTTTTTTCAGAACATACCGCAAAAATTCCCATTTTTCAAAAATCTACCGTAAAACTTCAGTTTTTTTCAAAAATCCACTGTAAAAACCCTCGTTTTCAGAATTGTACCGTAAAAGCTCTAGTTTTTCAGAACCTACGGCAAGAACTCCTCCTTTTTTCAAAACCTTTTTCTTAAAATCGATCGTAAAAACTATCGTTTTTTCCAAATCTACCGTAAAAACTCCAGTTTTCTTCAAAATGTACCGCAAAAACTCCCGTTTCATGAAAATGAACCGTACAACTAAACTTATTTTTACAAATCATCCGTTAAAACTCTCGCTTTCCAACAAAAACTACCGGCTTTGGGAAAAGTACCGCAATTTTCAAAAAATCTCCCGCAAAGTTTTCATTTTAGTTTGGCAGGTCTGGTATTAGAGATAATACTTACATACATCGAAATTATCCTTTTCATATCCTTGCAAGCAAATACATGAAGGAAGAGAGGTAGCAGGATCGATTTCATTGTTACATATTGAAGTCAGAACATCACAATAGATAGCATTGTCTATACAAAGATCAGCAATACCTGGAATATAATTTGACGTTGTTGGTATGTTATTGACGTGAGACTTAGCAACATATTTCTGCACTTTCTGCACCTATAAAGACTTTCTGCGATTTACCTCATTATCTTATTCTAAGCAAAGAAAATACTACTTAAATGTCCTACCGTTCTTAACATTCATTACACAAATGATAAGGAATGCCAACCATGTTGCCCGAGAACGCCTGAGTTGTGCCATTTTAATCTGGAAAGCGAAAACAAAATAAACACAGGTAAACCACTCTCATGCCACTTTAATTTGGAGAAGAAACGAGATTGAACAGAAAATCTCATCTTGAATGAATACTATTTAATCTGGAAAACGAAAGCATTAGTTGATACCATTTTCACCTATACTAGGCAATTAAGGTGTGTCCGATTCCAATCAAAAGGCAGTATTTCTAAAATCTGAAAAACTCACTTGCATAATTACACTTATTAAACACCGACATCTACGGTTAAATTAAATAGTATATTTTTAAATTATGATAATTTATTTTTGTTCCTATGCTTAGAATAACGGTCTGTGTCTTATAAAATGTATAAAAGTTCGAATCAAAATATTTACGTTTATGACCCCTTGTGTTGAAAGACGTTTTTCGACCCGAAAACCGGAAGCTTTTTCAGCAAATGGTATTTTAAAGGAATCAAGACATGCACACCTTCATGAATATTGCTTCAAATGTTGCTGCGCCGTGCTACGGATCCTTCATATTCGGAAGTCATACCATGGACTATATCATGGGCATTCAAATCAGGATTTACATTCAATAATTTGTTCATATTTCACCAGTCTCGTGTTGTAACTTACCCTGCGCGTTCAACTGTCACAATTTAGTACACAGCCGGTGATTATGTTCACAACATCTCTTGGGGGCTTCTGTGATCTTGAACGTTTTCTTTCTATTTCTAATTTTTGGGCCCTAAATCTGCCCCTCTCATAATAAACTGGATTATTAAGATAGAAAACTGGAATTATTGGGCATTGTTGCTCCAACTCTCTAAAGTTTAAGGGTCGCCAAAGGTGTTGGTTAGCATGGAAAACTAATTAAGTGTGGATGGGGATGGGCTCGTGCATGTTGCTCATATTGCATGTGAAATATTAAAGATTGCAATGGATGCAATCATTTTTATTTGAATCGATATAAAAGTATTCTGGCTCTTATAATGACTAAGATGTTCAAAAAATATTATCATTTCGGGTAAAGGCCAAACATACATCTCATAAGGAACGACAAACGGCATTCACTCAAAATATAATATCATGAAAAAAACACACAGCGTGAGCAATGAGGGAATGTGGGAATGAGAAACATCAACATCATTCAAAGTAAGTTGTATGGTTATGTGTCGGTCATGGAAATAAAAAGAAAGCATATAGCATGTGGAATAGGAATGTAACGGTTACATACATCGCTATTCCCACAAAGTTATAACATGATCATAGGTGAAACTGATAGTGAAATGTATTGTTTCTTGGTTTGGCAATGACTCATACTCTGCTGTAATCTAAATATAAACATAAAAATACTAATAAAACTAATTTTTGATTGTACATTTATATTTCACATCATTTTTAAGTAATTTTGTATCCTTTAACACTTGCTTGATAAAGTTTTACGAAGACAATTGAACTATTTCAAAAATTATATATCGATGATCTAAACGCTCACATTAATTACTTCCATTTCTCAAAATAATAATCTTAAAATGTTTTTTTTCCCAAAGATGATATTTTAATGTTTAGAGGATACAACATATTGGACAGCCTAATCTAGGCAATTTGAATTCACGACAAAAATACATACACTCAATCATATATCTGCAATTGTCCGCAATTTAAGAGCTGGTTTGATCAACTTTTTTCTCCATCATTATAGCGGTACAGTTGAGTCAGAATTACTTCAGAATTTGACAACCTTATCTTATAGAATCGCATTTTAAAGTAATATCACGATAGCTTTGCATTTAAAACGACTACTCGTATTGATGTGTGTTAGAGTAGAAGCCTGGCACTGGGAGGGATTCTGACTTCAATTTCATTACCCCTTTAAGGGCCAAAATTCCCATTTGACATGAAACGTTGCCAACTACCTTTTAATGAGCATCCCTTTCTTATTGAAGCAATGGATCTCATATACTTTAACCCAAGAATACAATTGTCTGGTTAAAATCGGCACTTTTTACAGAAAAAATGGAGGCCAGATCTAAAAGGCGCACAATCCCATCCTTTCAAACGATAAATGAAATCATAGGACAAACTTAATCATCGTTTGTTTCTAAAGAGGTCAGATGCTCAATATCTAGGTTCGTTACATCTAGGTTCATTGCCAATGTAATGCCTGGGTCACATATGCTCTGGTCCATCGGCCGGCGCCCGGCCGATTGAGTGTTTTGTTCAATATTGTATTTAATTTTGAACAAAATACTCAATCGGCCGGGCGCCGTAGTGAAAATTGGAGCAAATGTGACCAAGGCATAAGGCCCATCCTTCGTCATGCCGTTTACATAAAAGAAGCTTGTTCAACCTAACTAACTCCAGTTGATTTTGGCAAAGTTTTAGACATCTACATGCATTTCAACCAGGTCAGTTATTAAACGTACGATGCCCCAGCCCATCAACGTGCCTATTGGCAAGTAATCATTAAGTGTTACGTAAAACCTTCCAAAAAACCGGTTTAGGCTATAGTCTACTGAATCGGTCATTTTTTTACAACTTGGGCGAGTTGGAAAATTCCTGATCGTCTCCCTGAAGATAAAACAATTCGCGAGACATAATAATTATCCAAGGGATAATATGATATTATATAATGGTTGATTCCGTATATCGTGTTTATACTCAAGTGAGTATATGATATATTCACTAGTGACTGAAGGGAACGAGTGAATATATCATATACTCACGAGAGTATAACGATATACAGAATCAACCATTATATGATCTTATTATCCCAACATAATATGTAATCAATAAAAGGTTAATCTAAATTCAGCAGTTGCATATCAAGTCAAAGAGTTGTATACGCTGCCCAGGAGTTGTATACGCTATCGCTATCCAGGAGTTGTATATCGTTCTCAAGAGTTGTATACGATGAGTGTTGGTTTTATATTGCAGTTATACAATGCTATTATATAAAGCACTTAGGGTGGGATAAGCCAATATATATTCTTGTTATACAAGCTAGGGTATCAGTGAACATCCCACTATATAAGACCATACTTGATCGAGGGTATTCGATGTACAAAACAGTGATAGTCAACCTATGCCTGCCATTACCCAAAATTTTGTCGTATCAAAATCTCAATTTTTCCATTAAGCATTAGAAGATTCTGAAACTGGACCTTGAATTAATTGTGAAAAGGATTTGATTGTCAAAATAGAAAAAAATAGAATATTTGTGTCTCGATATATACTACAATATTGCTACATAAGCAGACAGAGGTGTTTTATACAATGACTTCAACCTGAGTAACGTTAAATATGTTTCCGGGATAGCGTTTCAGTCATATTTGACGCCAACCGTTCGTTGGTCATAGCTTGCCAAAATACGGCCGCCGTACCTTATGCGTTCCCTTTTAGATACATTTATCAATCAAATGGATTATTAAACCGATTGGATGTTATATTGAAATATAGAATGACACAAACGATTGGCCGTCAAAAAATTATCATTTGAAAGTACTATGTACTTGTAGACAATCCCAATTATTTTCTCCGTACCGCAACTACCGCAGATGCTACAAATTGCAGTGGAAATTAAACTACTGTAAAAGAGAATAAAGCAAAAATAGCAAATACACTGATAGGCCCTTGGAAAATCTAGCCCCCTCTTTTGCCGGTCCGAAAGATTTAAGGGGCCCAAAATCTGTTCATCCCGACATAAACAATTTTGATAATAAACTGGCATCATTGGGTATTACTTTTTATTTTAAACCTATTTTAAGCAAAAGGGGTCCAGATTTTCCCCCTGAATACCCAGGCCAACAACCAGAAAACTAGTTCCAGAATTATTCAGCACCAAAGTCAAAGTAGCCAAATTACGTTGATTGCTAACAGGATAGTTTAAAGTGTGTTCTATCTATATGTTTGAAAGTTACAATGCATGGCTTTTAACGTTAAAATATTAACTTCCAAGAGATGGTGAAAAGTATGATATTTTTAGTCAAAACCGTGTCAAGTTTCTGAGTAACTAATTTTGCTCTAAACTTTTATTTTGTCCATGGGACAACCTCTTTAGTTTTTATCATCGATTTAAGAAACCAAATAAACTTCGCTTACCTTATTTCGTTTTCGCTCGGCCTCCTACCGTATGAGTCAATGACATTAATTGTGCAATTTTATATATAGCATTGGTAGGCTGTAACCATCACCGTGTTTAGATTGTAAATTTAACGTTATGATTGGTTAAAAAGATTAGCTTCCATGCTGGTTTAGTATTGAAAAAAAGATTTTTAGCTCTCAGTTGGATAGCATACCATACTCCTATAAAAATATATACATCATTTGCTTAGAAACATTATACTATTGCTATAAAATATTAAATTCATTTGGTTTAATTAGTTTGATTAATTTATTCAAAGTTTCCCATGGCAATTTCGACCACATTGTTATCTAAAATTGAATAACAACCGGTTTTAAAATGCCATGTAATCTCTTGTATAACTTACATAGACTTGTGTATGATATTCGTACTTCCACAGGATGTCATCGTCTATTATAATCATGAATCTACAGTGTACATGGGAAACTAATAGCAGTTCATCACTGAACGGAAATGGTGAATCTAGTGGTCCAAGTCCTAGCGTACTATTGGAAATATTCTTTATTTTTTCAAATAGCAGTATTTCATATGTGAGTATTCAAAGGGGTAACATGACATTGACCTTTGGGAAATAGTAGCAGGTTTTACCTGTTTAACAGTACGATGACTCTCTTTCGTGACGATTGACTAAGCTCACTTATAACATCAATGAGGATTGGCAGCCATTTTCAAACTCGATCCTTCGTTGCCTGCAGTGGAACAATTCAGCAAAAATATTTTAATAAGGGTTTCTTTTGACCAAGTATTTCGTTAAGAGATGGTCATTACGAGTATTAATAGTAATATTCAAACTTCCTTGGCAGTTGTAGTATTCAAGATATGAGTAATATCGATACCACATTGGTGTACGCCAGGAAACGGAGTATGAGTTTAAATAACAGCTTCCAATCTTCCTTGCTTAACAACAGAAAATAAAATACTAGTGTCTAACGAGGGACACTTTGGTTATAAGGGATGATCCTGGACCCGGACAGAATAAAATAAGTGAAATATATGTTTCTGATCTAACAAACTGGAAATTATGGGCTAATGATTTGCTGGCCAAGACCAGCTTGCTTCAAATTCAATGTTTTTTGTGCCAAATTACAAAAAGGGGAAACACCTTAAAACTTGACAATGAAATATATAACTTACATGAACACAGATTTCTATTCATGATAAACCGGTTTTATACTCACTCAATTCAGGTCACATACATGTTTAGGCCAGGCAAATGGGTTCATAAGAGGCCCACACAGCATCCCCTAAATTGCAACAGTTTTTTAAATTAGTCTTATATTATGCATTTTAATATCAGTTGAAAAACATGCCAAAAAATGTATAGAAATGTTTGCAATGGACAAATATGAAAAGACCATGTGCAGTATGGCCAGTGATTTTAGACGGTCATATCTTTCACCATGAGTACTTTCTGGGCATAAATACTCTTTATTAAAACAATATGTTTTCTTTCAAGTGATGTACCCATGATGATAAAAATATCAATCAAACAATTCGAAAAATTATGAATAGGGACCCCATGCCAATTCAAAATATTGAACCTATTTACTCAAAAGAGGATCTCCCTTTTCTGATTTTTATTGCATGACAAGAATATTTAACAAGGGGTCTAAAACATCTTCAAAAATCAAATTAGTATTGAAAGTCTAGTTTTGAAGATATCATTTTCCATGACCAAAATTATGCTGTAAACAATGGATAGCACGAGTTTTTCCTATAAGATAATAACATGGGATGTAGTTTTTAACTTTATAACGCATTTAAATACCCGTCTCCTTTTCAGAAATTGTTAATTTAATGTAGAGGAGACTTTTAATATGTTTTAATTGAGAAAAACGAGATCCTCTTTTTTGAAAATAAGCCTTACTTTTTTCAAAAAAGTGACAAGGTGGGGTCCTAATCCATAATTTTTCAGAGAGTTGGATTGATATTTTAGTATCATGGGGACTTCACAACATATTGTTTTAATAAAACCCACTGCATTTGTATAGAAATGTTTGCAATGGACAAATATGAAAAGACCATGTGCATAATGTTGTCATAATGTTGACAGCAAATATTCCTATAAGATGTACATACTATTTCAAAACATATGCATAACATTTTATGATCATAATGCCTGAAAATAACATGATTGGTACATGGCTTCAATTGCCATTTGCCTCTTTATTTGAAGATGACTTTATAGATACTGCTCCATATGGATCATCTCTTTCCATTTTTTCCGATAAACTTTTTAATCCTATACATCTTCTTCCTGCCGAGGAATCTGATGACTCTAGGTTTTCTGAATTCACAGAAACCTTTATTGGCAAATGTAATTATCATGAAACGCATGAACTTAAGAACAAAATAGGGTCGTCTTTAAATACAGAACTTTCAATTCTTAATCTTAACTCCAGAAGTATCTTAGCTAATCAGTGGAAACTGGATAACTTATTAGCTACTACTGAGGTAAAATTTTCTATAATTGCTCTATCTGAGACTTGGCTTAATGCATCAAATCAAAACCAGTTTAACTTATCTAACTACTCATCAGAATTTAATTCTAGAATAGATAAAAGAGGGGGTGGTGTCTGTATAAATGTTCACAACTCCTTGCAGTATATTACACGCAATGACCTTAGGGTTGATAATCTAGAGTGTGAATCAGTAGCTATTGAATTAATCAGTCAAAACTCAAAATATATCATTATTACTGTCATATATAAGCCACCTGGTGTTGATGTGTCACATTTTAATAGTGACTTGGGTGATTATATGAATAAAATAGCAGATGAGGGTAAATTATCTTACATCATGGGTGACTTCAACATTGATTTACTTAAGGTTGAATCTCATGAACCCACACATGGTTTTCTGAACCAGTTTTATTCATTCCACCATGTCCCACTAATATATAGGCCGACAAGAATTACTGACAAGACTGCAACTCTTATAGATAATATTTTTACTAATGTCCCTAATATTGATGGATGTGGTATCATCATGGAGGACATTTCTGATCACTTTCCAATCTATTCCATTTCACATTATGATACTACCAAATCTAAAAAAACATTAAGCAGTTATCGTAATTTCAATGACTCTAATAAGCAATTATTTCTTGAGAAACTCTCAAATGTCGACTGGACCCCTTGCTATAAAAGTCAAGATGTAAACATAGCATTTAATATCTTCATTAACTTGTTAATGGAACAATATGATTCTTCATTTCCACTCAAATCCAAATTTATCAAAGTTAATCATGATTCTTATAGACCCTGGTTGACTTCTGGCATCTTAACTTCTGCCAAAACTAAAAATAAGCTATATACCAAATATCTGAAAAATCCCTGTTGCAAAACAGGAAAAGCTTACAAGTCCTTCAACCATAATTTTAAGCACATAATTAAATACTCAAAACGTACACATTATCAAAATAAGTTTGACGAAGTAAGTGGTAACATTAAAAAGTCTTGGTCTATCATTAATGAACTACTTGGAAAAAACAAAAAAGCTGCATTGCCATCTAAATTCACTATAAATGGAAAGGAAACAACAGATCATGAAATCATTTCCAATGGATTTAATAATTTTTTTACCAATATTGGTAAAAATCTAGCCAAGGAGATTCCAAAATCCAAAAAATGCTTTAATGAATACCTAGCAAGAGCTCAAAAAGTTCAATCATCTATTTATCTCAAAAAGACCTCAAAAACTGAGCTTGAATTAGAAATGTGTCTTCTAAAATCTTCCTCGCCTGGACCTGATGGGATTCTACCATCACTTATTAAGTCTGCAAGACAGTTTTTAATTGATCCACTCTTGTATATATTTAACTTATCTTTTAAATCTGGTATTTTCCCAGACGCCCTCAAATTGGCCAAAGTAACACCTGTATTTAAAAAAGGTGTCACTACAAATCCTTCGAACTATAGACCAATTTCAGTTTTATCTGTATTTTCTAAATTGTTAGAAAAGCTCATGCACGCCAAACTCACTGGTTTTTTAGAACATTTTGAAATTATTTTTACTTATCAATTTGGATTTCATAAATTCAACTCTACCTACATGGCCATTTTATATTTCATTGAACAAATTCGAAAATCAACTGATATGGGGAAAACGAGCATTGGCATAACATTAGATTTTTCCAAGGCCTTTGACACAATTAATCATGACATTTTGATACAAAAACTTTAATATTATGGCATCAGAGGAATAGCTAAGTCCTGGTTTGAAAGTTTAAATTTAAAAGACCGCAAACAATATGTCACCATTAACAGTTATGAATCTAAACAATCATCTCTAAATTGTGGTGTTCCGCAGGGCTCGGTACTTGGACCACTATTATTTATTCTTTACATAAATGATCTGCCTTTTGTTGCCCCTAATCTAAAATTTATTATGTTTGCTGATGACACCAATCTTCTTGATAGTGATTATGATTCAAATGAACTTATGACTAGAACTAATGCAAACTTGAATTCAATAGATGACTGGATAAAAGCAAACAAACTTTCACTTTATATTGGCAAAACCAATGCTATTCTATTTGGACCCCAAAAAATCAAACAAATCTGAATCTTAAAATACGCAATGAGAACATAAATTTCCGGGAAAAAATTGACTTTCTTGGAATTATTATTGATAAAAACTTGAAATTTAAAGAGCACATAAAATCTGTTGAAACAAAGATTTCTCGCGTCATTGGTTCTCTTTATCACATTAAACATCTACTTCAAATAGACAGTTTCAAAACAATTTACTACTCATTGATACACTCTCAATTAAATTATTGCAACTGGGGTGACACATTTAAATCATTTTATGATCGTCTACATAAACTGCAGAAACAATTCTTAAGGCTAGCTTTAAATAAGGATAGACTTTCTCACTCCGCTCCCCTATTTAAAGATCTTAGAATATTAAATATTTTTGATGTCAACAGATATTGTACTGGTCAGTTCATGTACAAAATCTTTAATAAGCACCCCAGTCTTCCAAAAAATCTATTTCAAGACTTGTTTGATATCAACATTAATATTCATCATCATTACACAAGACAATTGCATTATTTTCATATCCCC